GTCAAAAACAAACTGCAAAAACCTAAGGTCTTCCCACCTCTGCCCTACAGCCATCTGAAAGAGCAAACAAGGGAGAGAAGGAATCAAACAAACAATTTGAAGCCGCCACCTTGTGATTGTTGTTTGTCAGGCGTAAATTGAAAAAAAATGAATTATTTGAGATTCAATTAATATTCACGTCTTGGCTGTCACGGAGATTTAATTCTCTGGGTTCCAGGCATCTTTTCTGAAAATAATAATTTCCCCTGCTGATTATTATCTTGCTTCAACTTGTCTAATTTCTTGCTCTGCTGAAGAAGAAAATTGGGGGAACCATTTATTGCCTAGTCAATCTGGTGTAGCTAAAACAATTAACATTGAAGCGATTAAGTTAATTTCCCCACAAAAGTGCAGGATACTTTGTTTGTAGCACCCAGCCCCATCTCCTTTAAATCACATCTGTGGGGACAAAAGGACAATGCGATGGAAATATTATTAGATCTTGGTGGGCTTTGGGGTTTTTTTAAGGGTGAAATTAACAAGTAAGGGCACATGCTGTGTGAGAAACCTCATTGCATTAGGGATGCATGGCAATTAAAGAGCTACTACAACTGATGAGGGCTAGGACAGCCCTTTCACTTTTATAGACTCATTGGGCCTTTCAGAGTTTACAGCTAATTATATATTTTTGCTGGCAAGTACCATGGAGAAGGCAGTTAGTGTCGGTTCCGTACAGTGTGGATTACAGTTCTGCTCTGAGACATGGTACAGTAATACAAAAAGCTTTTATTGAGAAATCTATTTCCTTAAGCTCATTACTCTGTAGCTGGGGGACCTTTTTCAGTCTGAGGGGTAAATTGCTTTCTGGGGTCCAAAATGCCAGTGCTGAGTGGGGCCAGAGGACAACGGGTGGAGCCGTGAATGCAAATTTTACTTTTGGACAGTCCACAAGTTTCTACAGACACTCCCACCCGCTTCTCTATTTCCCCCTCCATTATTATCAGAGTTCAAGGACACTTTCCAGCTAGGCAAAGATTCTTGAGGAAGGTAAGAAGCAGAACCAGAAGGGATTGTGGCCTGGCCTTGGGGGATTCCCAAAGGTTAGACAGAAAAGCTTGGAGGACCACAATTGCCCCTCCAGGTCTAAGATTCCTCATGGAAGGTGTTGACCCAGCATGTGGCAACTGAGCCAGTGTGGTGTAGTGGTTAAGAGCGGTAGACTCGTAATCTGGTGAACCGGGTTCACGTCTCCGCTCCTCCACATGCAGCTGCTGGGTGACCTTGGGCTAGTCACACTTCTCTGAAGTCTCTCAGCCCCACTCACCTCACAGAGTGTTTGTTGTGGGGGAGGAAGGGAAAGGAGATTGTTAGCTGCTTTGAGACTCCTTAGGGTAGTGATAAAGTGGGATATCAAATCCAAACTCCTCCTCCTCCTCCTCTTCTTCTTCTTCTTCTTCTTCATCATGGTGGATCCCATGTTAGGAATCATTAGGAGAGGGACTAGAGATAAAACTGCCCATACTGCAATTCCATTGTGCAAATCTTGAAAGACTGTATACAGTTCTGGTCAGCTCCCCTTAAGAAAAGATATTGGAGAATTTGCAGAAAAGGGCAACCAAATGAAAGTTTGTGAGGAAAGGTTGCCACACGTGGAGCTTTTCAGTTTAGAGTAGGGTTTTCCAAACTTGGGTCTCCAGATGGTTTTGGACTACAACTCCCATCATCCCTAGCTAGCAGGACCAGTGGTCAGGGATTATGGGAATTGTAGTTTGGGAAACCCTGGTTTATATGAAAGGTGAGTAAAAAGGGACACGATAGAAGTTTATAAAATTATGTATGGTGCAGAGAAAGCAGCTGGAGAATGTTTTTCTCCTTTTCTTATAATGCAGGAACTTGTGGACATGCAATGAAGCTGAATGTTGGAGGATTCGAGACAGGCAAAAGAAAGTCCTTATTCACGCGGCACATAGTTAAGCTATGGGATTTGCTCCCTAAGAGGCAGTGATGGCCACCAACTTGGATGGGTTTAAAAGAGGATTAGACAAATTTGTGGAGGATAAATCAGTGGCTACTAATGTACCTCCAGAGTCTTTTATGTTCTGCCTCCACAGTTGCAAGCACTGTGCCTCTGATTACCAGCGTTGAAACTGCAGGAGGGGAGAACGCTTTTGGATTCTGATCCTGCCTGCGTGCATCTGGTTGGGTACTGTGAGAGCAGCAGGCTAGACTCGATGGGCCACTGAGGTCTCTACTTGTGTTCTGTAGGGCAGCTGAGAGAAGGCCAGTCTGTGCTTTACAACTGAGCGGCACAATTTATAATCCACTAAGTTGAGTACAGCCTACCACCCATATATTGAGGTCTTCTGGGTGCTTGGCAACACTTCCCCCATCCAGCAGCATCTCAGCCATGATACATAAACTGCGTTTGGCTTGACGGGCTACAAGTCATGCAGGCTTTTTTATTATTTTATTAAAATAATTCAACATTAATACATACATATTACGAATATACAAACAAACATACATTTCATACAGTCCTTAAAAATATTCATACATACCCACACTCAATCCCACACATACTTCCTTTCCCACCACCATCCCTCACCTCACCCTCGTGTTAGACTTCTAATCTACTCAATTGCAATTTCTTTCCACTTCTATTACTTTCTTTCACACACTTTTAAACCAACTTTCTACTTCTTTTTCTGTTACACATTGTTATCCACCTTATTTAGTATTTCAGTATTTATAACAGAACTTGTTTATTCTAATAGGAGTTCTGATTTTTCAAGATGATTTTGCAAATATCCTTTAAACACCTTCCAGTCCTTGTCTATCTTCTCTTTTGAGATCCTTCCGATTTCTCCCATTGTTTTGGATATATTGTAATACTCCAATAATTTGGCAAGCCACTCTGTTTTTTGAAGGTATTAGGCCACTTTTCCAATTTTTCACAATCAATAGCCTTGCGGCTACTGTTGCGTATAAATATAATGTCTTGTCACGCAGGCTTGCTTTGCTGCAAGACGTGGCCTGGTTAATTCAAAAACGCATGCAATTACAGGGCTTTTTTTTTATTGCACTAAGCCACACACACAGGGCACTCTCTTGCGGCTTTGATGTTTAATCTAATTCCCATCCATCTTTTATTTAGAGTTCAGAGCAGCAGACCTCAATTGACTTAAGGATGATGAACAATAAACAGTCACTTTTGCTCTGCCGAGCAAAACCTTGAGCCAAAAAGTGCCTTGATCATTAAAACAGCGTGGAGAAATGTTGGCCACTTCTGCAAATTTCACCTTGGTTCTAGATCTTATGGGTAGCCTTGGGCAAGTCAGTTCCTCTTTGGGCAAGTTCACTTCCACATCTGGCAGGTACAAACAAAAGTTGTAAGTAACGATAAAGAGATTTATGTAAGTCACTTAGAGATTTTTTTTCCTTCTGTGTTAAGCAACTAACAAGTTAAATTTTCTTATTAAGAATAATAATAGCTTTGCTTGCTCCTTTTTCTGCTCCTTGCAATAACGTTATGGACATCCAAGAGTTTGGTGAGCAACTGACAGCTTAATGAATGCAGAGTGGCAATTTTGTGAGAAGCAAGTTCTTTTGCTGGCTGGCATAGCTGGTGCGAAGTTCTGAAATGAAGCTGTACGTAGGAGTTCTGCCTACTGGTTCTTCCCATATAAGCTGCACTGAAAATATTGGCGCATTGTTTTAAAAATAAACGGCACTCAAAGCATTCCACAATCAAATAAGGACCTAGCGTGGGCAGAACCTCATGTTGTATTAGAAGTGATGAACTACATCTCCGCTGATGTGTCATTTAAGTGGTGGAGGTGACGCGAGATAATCCACAACAAACAATGCAAAATGTCTGCTTCACCTGGAAGGGAAAAGCTTTTGCAGCCTGAAGGCCACATTCCAGCATGGAGAACCAGCTGGGGGCCAACATGGCAGTGTTGGGCGAGACCACAGGGGGGAAGTGGGTGGAGCAATGGATGTGACGACTCTTACTTCCATACAGTAGACTACATGCACTGTCTTTTGTGTCTTGAATCTTCCAATGCTTCACTGGATGGTCCCAGGTTCTAGTATTATGGAGAGGGTGAAAAAACTACCTCTGCCCACTTAAGCTACACCATATGTAATATTGTTATAGAAGCTGGGTGCCACCTCCACTCTCGAGGGGTAGCAAGACTCTAGGGGGTTCCAGGTGCTCACCCAGAGTTTGTGCTCCTTCGGAGTATTGAAGATACGGCAGAGACTGTTGTAGTTTTAAGAAATATGATTTATTCACATATTTCGACCTTCAGTTTGCATGGAGGGAGTCCCGATCTTACACCATTGTCACCCCAAGAAGAGCTAGCTCCCATAGCACAATAGCACTGGAACTGAAGGCATCTCTCCCAGGCAGCCTTCAGCCAGCCTGCCCAAAATGGATCTCCCCATGTTCTCTCTCCCTCCCAGCACACCTTGCTAAAGACCATCTTTCCCTGTGACTTCACACCCAGTTACCCTGGTAACCTTCTGTCTGCCCAGGTCCAAGATGGGCCATCAACACCTTTTGCCATGTTAATACATGTATCCCAGGATGTCCTGGCTTGGAAAGGAAGCTTAGCTTCTATTTTTCCACTGGCGTGCAGTCTTCCCTTCAATACTCCAAATAATCAAAATCCTACCATTTATTAATTTCTAGGGTTTAGGAGGGTCCCCCAATCTATAACACCATTATACTTCATGCCACCCCTTACTCACTCCCCCCCCCAACCAAACAGCTCCATATGTTGTAACCTGCCCTCAAAGGGGAGTTGCTGCAGCCCTAATTCCTTCAGCTGATCATTTTGGCCGCAGCTTCCTAGCTCTGTGATATTATTTTTCATGTCAGGCTACCCAAGCTGCCCACACAGTATTCCAAGCACGGTGGCACCGTAGATTTGTACAGCAGCATCCTGATATTGGCAGTTCTATTTGCAATCTCTTTCCTAATGATCCTTAACGCGGAATTTGCCTTTTTTTCACAGCTGCTGCACACGGGCTCGACATCTTCATGAAAACTCATGAAAAAGAGCATCTGATGCCGTTTCTGTGCGTGCGATAGCAGCAAATAATCATGTGAGTTCTAAAGGCTGAAGGGGAGAGGGAATCTGACACCCTCCCTCTTGCTGCACTAAAGCAGAAAAACAGTTTCGAAAAGCCTTTGGACTTTCCATGCTGGAGCACAAATTGTGTGTGGAAATGTTTTAAGGCAGCGAACCTCTGCTCTTTGCAGAAGAGGATTGTTGTCGTGAAGTTACACAGCACACTCTCCCCCTGCCCTGGAAACAAGTGTATGTGCGAGACGATCATAAAAATCATGCCACAGTAATATAATTTTGTATCGATTGGAGACAATCAATATGCTGTTGACTGTCCATTTCCATAGCGATGCAATATTCACATTCTATTGCCTCAGTGATGTGTGGTGTTTGTGCGGCATTTCAGGCATTACACAGAAAGGCAAGTCAATTGTATTTTTTTTAAGAAAGATAAAAATAAAATAAACTTCACGAGGGAATTCCATGCAGGCAAATAGCATCTTCAAAAGAGGAATTTTCCTCAGGATCACAGCAGGAGAGGAAAGTGTTAAATCCCTCCTTCCTGCTTTCTGTGATTCTGATCATTGCCAGTGCCCTCCATTGGATGCTATTTGCATCTTAAAAAGATGCATGTTAAAGATGCAAAGACACATTTCACATCGCGTCTGGTTTCACCCTCATTCACACATTCCAGACACTCACACAGGACATTCACCACCTTCACTGGTTCTGATATAAGTGGAATATAAATTAATAAACAAACAATAAAATTCACTGGGACACATTGTTTCCACATGCCTCGAACTTTTCTTAAGGAGGGATCTCTGAGCTCATTCCAAGCAGACAAAGATTAAGCAACCTGCTGGTGTCTGGAAGGAAATCAAAACATGGACCTATATCTGACCAAAGATCATAGTTTTTCTAGCTTCTTAGATCTGAAGCAGCCTCGGCCTTGGCCAGTATACCTGAAGAAGCCACCCCCATTGTTTAGCTCAGACACTGAGGTCCAGCTCCGAGGGCCTTCTGGCGGTTCTCTCACTGCGAGAAGTGAGGTTACAGGGAACCAGGCATAGGGCCTTCTCGGTTGTGGCACCTGCCCTGTGGAACGCCTTCCTATCAGGTCAAGGAAATAAACAACTGTTTGACTTTTAGAAGGCATCTGAAGGCAGCCCTGTGTAGGGAAACTTTTAATGTCTGATATTTTACCATTTTTTATGTGCTGTAAGCCTCCCAGAGTGGCTGGAGAAACCCAGTCAGATGGGAGGAGTAATAATAATAATAATAATAATAATAATAATAATAATAATATTCCAGCCTGATGTCTCCCAGATTTTTTTTTGACTCCCATCACCTCTGACCATTGACTATGCTGGATGTTGAGAGGTGTATTCCAAATGCATCTGAAGGGCCTCAGGTTGGATTAAAAGCAAACTTGACTTCAACTTGCTCCACTCTTTGGGAAAAGGAAATGCTAACACTTCCTTAGCAAGCTTTGTTTGTTGCCATAACAGACTTTACAGACGAGTTGCTGGGGCTGTTATGCAAGTACGGGTTATTGCCCAAAGAGCTAACAAATGGTTGTAATTATATCTATTCTGTAGCTTCCCAGCGGTGGCTCTGACAGCACGGGCAGCTTTTTTCTGCACATCAAGTACTCCAGTTCTGTCCCGCCCCCTTTATTATACATCGTGAGAGCCTTTACACCCAGCGATTTCCATGGTCATCCAAGGAATTTGTGGGAGGCACTTTTTGCTTAACGCCCCTGTTGCTGCCGGCGAGCCACTTGCAAAATAAATAAATAAATTGGCAGGCTTTTATTACAGCCGCGTGTAAATAGCATGATTCCTCCGGCAAATTATAGTGTGCGCTCTCAAATTTCCTTCTGGTCTCGCAGAGCCGTTGTTGAGGATGCAATTCTTCTAACCCCCCCCCCCACTTCACGACGGAGTTTCAACGTTGGAAGGCTCAAGCAGCTTGCAAGTGAAGGAAAGAGGAAAAGGCAGGATCGGGGCAGGATTGGCTTATCATGTGGAAAGGCTGGTGTGCGCCAAACCCGGAAAACTATAAACAGGACATCCTGGGACCAGCAGCCCATGAGAAAATTCTGCTCCATACAATGCACAAAAAGTTAAGAGGTTTGAATTGCCTTTTTGGAACCCTTCACCCGTGACCAGAAGAAGTAGGAGAAGTCACAAAGCAGGGATAGAAGCTTCTCCAACGAAAGAAAGAGGAAACAGAAAAAGAAACAAGATCCTCTCTCATCACTATATCATAACATGGTAGCTTTTCATGTACAGCGTGATTCTTTTATTTCCCTGTCTCAGTGCCCATTAAGACCAGAGAAGTAATAGCTACAATCCCCCCAAGGCTGGAGGGAATAGCTTGGTTAAAAATAAGGAGCAAACTGCCTGTAGAAAGGCCAAACTCTGTTACGTGTGGTCTAAATCAGGGCTGGGCCCCTGAGATGTCATAGGCCTCCAAATCCCATCATTCCCAGCCAACACTGCCAGTCACAAGGCATGATGAGAATTATAATCCAACAACATCTAGAGCAGCCTTCTGAACTCCCATCATCCCTTGCTACCATGACCAGTTGTCAGAGTTAAAGGGAGTTGTAGTTCAAGCTGGGGACCCAGAGGAAAGCAAGCACCAGCAGAGCTGCCCTTTTGCTGGCCAGTGGCCAATCAATGGGGTCAGACTGACCTCCTACTTCCCACAATGTTCTCCCTGTGAGGTAGGGGGTAGAGCCCCCTTGGTGCTCTGGCTGGTGTCTTCAGAACAAATTGGGTGAGGATGCAGGGCATGGATGCCAGAAGGAGGGGGGACAGTCCCTTTGCAGAATCAGAAATTATTGTATGGATTTGATGTGCTGGATGCATGCTGCCTAAAGACCACAACAAGCTTCCTTTGGTATAAATGCTGCTGTCTTCTCCTACAGCAAATTCAAATAGCTCTCTGGGATCCTAGAAGGATTAAAGATAATATGAGATCTGTTTCAGATAAAAAGTTCTGCTACTGCTGATAACCCTGGGCTACAAACTACCCCACAGACGCATGTGCTTAAGACAACTTGGAAACAAAAGGACTTGAGAGTCAGCGCCTGGTGGGGCAGATAAAGATTATAGTCCTTATGTCCCAGATTAATTCTGCATCTCCTCACCAAGTTGCTAGCTCTCTGCGTGTCTAGAGGATCTCTGTAAAGATATCCTTTGATCTGAGTATTACTAATCCTCGTGACTAATGCAAAAGTGCTTTTTCGAAAGGAGAAGCTGTAATTTGCTTGCTATGAAATCTAATCAGAGAGGGCCGGAACATAACTTTATAGCAACCACAAGGAGATGGAACATTGTACAAATAAGGGATCTTGGGACAAGCTACTTAAGTAATTCAATTTCGGAACCAAAACAGATTATGCTGTTTGGAAGAAAACAAAACTGCTGTGAAGGAAAAGGTCCAATCTCTCCGCACACCCTTTCCCTGTTGCTTCCAACTTTAGAAGTGGAGACTGGCAGCAGCATATTTCTAGCTGAGACGTTTGACTAGAAGCGATTATTCTTCTAGGTGACATTTCACTGTAATTACACGGTTCTTCAGTTATACTGGAGATAATCATCAGCGTGACCTTCAAGCGAGGGATGTGGAAAGTGCCTTATAAAAAATGATAGAATTTCCGGCTTTAAACTATTCTGGGTACGGAAGCCAAAATAGAGGAGGGTTGGGGGACATCTACTGCTTACTGCTGTAAACCATTAGATGAAAAAGATATATAAATATGAACTGAGAAGACGTGAGGGATTTGTTTGTACAAATCATAATGTCTGTAACACATCGGCCTTCCTGTATTCTGGGCAAGGGAGAGAAGCACACTGAAAACATGGCCTTCAGTTTCTGTGCTTCAGCCTTTTGTGCTGTGTTGGATCATGCGAGGATAGCTTTTCTTTATTCTCTGCCTCCGCTACCTTGACCAGGAGCCCATGAATTCACTGTTTTATAAAGGGCACACATAGTACAGTCCCAAAGCTGAGCACATTGGTAGTGCCTCTGGTGAGGGACATGTCGTGCTCCTTCTGGGGTCGTTTGTCCATCTTTGGTCCCCACCCTGCACCCAGCTCTCACCTGTGGCTCCTAGAAGCTGTCAGCATGTGGCAGTGGCCACATCCCTGGCAGGCTAAACCAGGTGAAGGTAGCTGATAGGTCTCAAACCCTTGGTGAGTCAACGACTTCACTTGTGTGTGAAAACAGACTCTGGCAGGTTGAGTGGACAAGACCAATAGTGAGTCCAATGGTCAAGAAGGCAGCTTCTGCATGTGCTGTAGAGGGAAGTAAGGGGCAGATAGCTTGTCAACCTGGGAAGGCAGCCCATTTAGGAGGAAAGCTCTGGTCCTAAACCTCAGCTACGTTGTGGGATGCCTTTGGGAGAAGAAAAAGCTAAGGAGGAAACCCTACACAAATCTGGAGTGGGGTCCCTAAGATGGCTGGATGGTGCTTTGTACTCCTCCTCCTGGCAACTCCTGCAGCCAAGCTGGTGCCAAATGTATTGCTCTGTTTTCCTTTGGACCACATCAGCGAGGCTGAGGGGGGGGGTCTTGTCATCTGGGTAGACCAGGACCTCCCTACACATTCCCCAGGCTTGCATTCCAGGGAGGTTGGTGCTGCTGACGCAGTAGTTTGACTTCACCCCCGGAGGCACCCTCCATTGTCTCTCGACACAGATGCCAAAAAACACAAGACCGTCCATGGAATTCAATGCATAATCTCATGTGATGTTACAACATGGCCAGTGCTAAATGCTGAAGGGTTTAGTTACCACTGGCAGCGGGGGCAATAGCATACTATGGGCTCCTGCAAATCCTCAAACAGAAGATGTCTGAAGGGCCACAGCAGAGGACGTTCCCCCCCCAAGCACGGGAGCCAAGGGGGCACCTTCAGGCCTTCTTCTCAAAGCCTAGGTAGTGCTTGGCCAGCTTTGGAAACAAGGGCTCTAGGATGCCGCCAGAGCCTTATTCCTCTTTCCCAAAACCCAGTGCCACCCTTACCTATCTTTGGGAAGGTGGCGAAAGGGCTGCAGGTGGGGAAAGGGTGTCAATTTTTGGCCACACACAAGGCGTCATATTATCAAGGTCCACCCCTGGCCACAGGTTCTCCAACCCGCGAAGCAGAATAGAGCTGGAGTCAAGGAAGCAGATCTGCTACCTCATACCAAATCCTGCATATTATTGTTATAAAACTACTTTGAGGGATTTTTTAAAAAGTGCTGTATAAATTTTATGAAGTAAGGAACAATCATTATTATTATTATTATTATTATTATTATTATTATTATTATTCCAGCCCTTCCTCTCAAAGGAACCCAGGGCAGCAAACAACAAAGTAGTTCAACAATTCAATTAAAAAATATTTAAATAATGAAAAAATAATAACAAAATCAAACCGTCACAAATTCTCCCTGTGAATGGTGTCAAAGTTGCCGAGAACAGTAGTTGATTTAGAAATCAAGTATCTCCAGCAATCAAGGTAGACCTTTTCATTGCAACCCCAAAAAAAGAGAGTTGGTAGTACCCCATTGAAGGGGAGGGATGTCGGAAAGGAGTGATAAGATGCTTTGTGTTATGTGCTAGTCTTCCATTACAAAAGAAGCCTGCATAAACTGCACCCATGGAGGTTTAAAGAATGATAAGATGCTTATGAAGAAGCAAACTTCTCTCCCCACCCCTCTCTTCTAACTGTAAGCCAACAAATAAGGGGCACAATTGAGGCACAATTGAGTGCTTCCAAGTCCCATTCATTTCGTTGGGAGAGAGAACAAACCATGTGCTTTCCTCTTCTATTGTTATCAATGGCACTTAAAACATGCTTGGGAACCACAGGTGCAACACAGGTGCATAGGTAATGCCAAGAGCAAACTGGATGCATTGATGTAGCTGCTGGCCTGCAGCCTTAATCTGTGCTTTCACCTGATCGCATGCCTGAGCTCCTGCTCTTGATTTCAGTAGGTTTCAAACACCCGCACACACATACCCAGCCTGGGGTTTAGGTATTCTGGAGAAGCCTAGCCAAATGGATGGAGGAATGTCATAACCCAAGCATATTGGATATTTAGGTGACTGATATACAGGCTGAATATCAGGGGACATTTGGTAACCCAGTCGGGTAGAATACCTGATTTGAATGCATGACGTCCGAAGCCCTGGGATTAAATATAAATAAATACAAATTTACATATCCAAGTATGGCTGCAGCATCTTTTAACTTGGGCCTGGTTTCTGATATGGACTACAGAAATGGTGCAATAGCTCCTTGTTCCTGACCTGTGCACAGGGGTAAAGACAGCCTATTTTAGTCTGCAGCTGTTGGAGGAAGGAGGTCGATTACTTTTTCATAGCCGTGATATTGCTCAAAAGACTCCAGCGGTTCCTCTGCTGAGCCTTTGTTAGATCAACTGCACTTTTCTTTACGTATCATGATGACACGGCCGTGGCAAATTACAGTCAGCTCGCAGCTGTGTGGAACAGAACACTGAAATGGAAATAATCTGCAAGCGGGGGAAAAAATATTTGCTGGGGGAAAAGAAAGGTTGTTGGCTTCTGAATTGTACAAGGAGGTAGGGGGAAATATATCCAATATAGGAAAACAGGCCACTGAGCTACCTTTGTTCAGCAGTACAAACTTGGGGGTGGCTGCATTTCACAACAGCAAAAATGAGGTTCTCTCTATTACTAATGTCAGAAGAAGTCAGACATTAAAATAAGTAGATAAAAACATGGCATTAATGAAAGGGCGGCTGCTTTCAATTATCTGGTAGATCTTTTCCTTGTCTAATATCCCTGGTGTGATATATATTTTGGTATGTAGCTCTGTGCAGAGAGCCAATGTGGTGTGGTTGTTAGAGAGTTGGACTAGGACCTGGGAGAACAAGGTTCAAATTCACACTCCCTGAGTGAGCTTGGGCTAGTCACTGCCTCTCAGCCTAGCCCACCTCACAGGGTTGTTGAGAGGATAAAATTGGGATAGGGGAGAACTGCATACACTACCTTTAGCGCCCTGGAGGAAAGGTGGGTTATAAATGGCATAATAATTAAATTAAATAAATAAATAAATAAAATGGAGGCATGTATGTGTTATGTTTCCAGTGGTCTGTGTTTGCCTGAGCTTGAGTCTAGACTAAGGATTCTGAGCGTCTGTGTTCTGATTCGATACATGATATCCAATCACAGAACCTTTCAGGATCTGGGTCTCTGCCATTGGCCCTTAAACTCTGAGATATGATTCGTAGCTTGGAAGTTTAGACAGTCAATCACGTTGGGAGTGGGAGTAGCCCAGGCCTTCAGAAATAGATATAAGCAGCTGTTTTGCCCCTGTTGTCCAGTTCTGTTATTCAGTAAAGGTTCTTGCTGTTACTACTGTGTCTTGCCTCATGGGAACCCACCTACACTTCAGTAGGCATTGGTTTCCCCGCCTCTGTTCCATTATAAGTGCCTGGAGTCATCAGCATTTCTTATTGCGATGTACTTGCTGCTCTCTGCTGGTGGTGCTCTGTGGTCTACATTGTGTTGGTAGATGAGTTGTGGGAAGTCTGGGGAAGGAGGAGAAATTTTTCTCTGTTCACATTTAACTTGCACTTCCCAAGCTGACACATCAACCGAAATGCAGCTATCTCTTGAAAAAACCCCACAGCTTTCTGAATTTGGCAAGGCAGTTCTGTCACCCAAAAGGGTGTACCTTATGGGCAGAGTGCACCAAAAAAATGCATATCTTAGTGCATAGTTTGGCCACATGGAGATGTGCAGATTTTAACTGCGAGCAGTGGTGGGATGCAGATTCTTGTTCAATTGTATACTGTTGCATGGAAACCACTTCACTGATGGTGAGCAGTTTTAGGGATGTAGGGCCTATGTAGATTTGCTTTGCTTTGGAGAGAGGTCACTGAAGGATTAGTAGGACTAATACACCTCTGTGTATTTGTGAATATACAGGCTGATCCTGGGTGGAGGCACACCACTCCAACAGACAACCCAGATCCACTGCTTGTGCATCCGATCTCCAAAGAGATGTCCAGAATCCCAAGATGCATTTAGGTAAAGGTAAAGGGACCCCTGACCATTAGGTCCAGTCGTGACCGACTCTGGGGTTGCGGCGCTCATCTCGTTTTATTGGCTGAGGGAGCCGGCGTACAGCTTCCGGGTCATGTGGCCAGCATGACTAAGCTGCTTCTGGCGAACGAGAGCAGCACATGGATACGCCGTTTACCTTGCTGGAGTGGTACCTATTTATCTACTTGCACTTTGACGTGCTTTCGAACTGCTAGGTTGGCAGGAGCAGGGACCGAGCAACGGGAGCTCACCCCATCACAGGGATCCGAACTGCCGACCTTCTGATTGGCAAATCCTAGGCTCTGTGGTTTAACCCACAGCGCCACCTGCAATATCCCAATTCAGCTATGTATTTTATTACTATGCCATTTCTTTTCATGCATGGACCACAACATTCTTGACTGGGAAGGAATCTTGCCCTTTCTATGATCATTCCCTCTGTTCAGAATATGCTCCAAAGATATTGATATTGCATCAAGAAGCGATTGACTAACTATTTAGCTCCCACACCACCTATATTTGCCACCTGTCGTGAATGCTTTAGCTGAGATTCCTGCACTGCAGCAGTTGTGCTAGAAGACCCTCGAGGTCCCTTCCAACTCTACAATTCTATGAAAGGGATATGCCAGAGTTTCTGTATTAATCCTTTCGTGTCCACCCCCGCCTAAGCCTACGCCACTTCTGATTTCATGGCCTATTCATATGGAACAATAAAAGAGACAAGATAAACTTGGCAGGTCAGAGGTTTACCTGAAATAAATCAGGTCTTCTCAGAGTAAACCCATTGAAAACTTAGGTTCAAAACAACAAGGAGAGGGGGTTCCAAATCTCAGCTACAGCCATGGGAAAAGGCCCCTTTCTCCCATTTCCACCAAATGAGCTTCAGTTGTTGATGGGACTGAGAGAATGGTCTCTGCAGTAGACCTCACCACTCAGGCAGGCTCATATATGTAAGAAAATGCCGCCCCCCACCGTAACCTAGTTCCAAGGCAGCCATTTTGAAATCTCTTCTTCTCCTATTTGAAAGTGGAAATGGCACCCTTCTCCTAACCATGGACATGCTATGGAATCTTGAGCTAGGTGTCACCTCTTTCTGACTAAATTTTTAATCTGCAAAATTAGAACTCTTTTATCTCATCTGATTGTTCTTAGGGTCAAGAAGAGCAACATGTACTCAGATCTGCCCTTTTAAAATTAATGAGGCTTAAATGCAGTTCAG